GTGGTAAAATGCAATAACATTTATTCTAAAACAAATAAATATGTTTTTTATATACAAAACAATAAAAAACAATTGGTTTTGAGTTGAAATGAAATACAAATTGCAAAAGTAACATGAACACATCAATGACAATTAAAAAAACACACAAAATATATGTACACACAATAGTCTTTATAAAAAAATAAACTTTTCATAAAACCCATTATATCAACTGTGTATTTTTTCAGACAGTACGAGGTAGCAAGATTTTTTACTATTTTTTTCTGTCTATAATATATTTTTATCATCTTTTGGTATTTACCATATTGTGAGTAATCTTTTGAATAGTTTTTATCAATTGAAATTAAAATATAACAAGCAATCATTAAAAACAGTTTTTAGTGTCAAATATATTATTGTTTTAAAAACAATTTCCCTCCATAACATAAAATCCACATGTTTTTTATATTGTTGTCTAACTTCTTGTCCAATATATGGACTGTTTAACCAATTGTTTGTTAATGACTCTTGACAAGTTGATGTATACAGTTACATATTTTAATAATCTATTGAAAAGAGTGTTTAAAATGAATAAGGTAAACCATAACTATGTTTATAATTTTTCAAACAACAAAAAATCAAACTTCTTTGTCTATTGATGCTATTTTATTGTTTTATTTTGTATATATTTTTAATTTTTGTTGTTTTTTTACATTATGAGTAATTTATCTTTTTATTGTCAATAACAAGGTATAAATTATTATCATTATTCTATATATTCGGGTTGCTTGATAATTAATTGCAGAAACATCACTGTCTGTAAAAGCGATGTATGATAAATTCGTTTTATTGTTAAGTTATTTTACAACTATTTCGACTCTATCATTTTCACTATAACACAATAGTATGTTACTCAATGTTAATAATTACCGCTATTATAAATGCGTCATTCTCTGAACATAACCAATTTTATTTTTTTATTACGATTATTATTATTTGTTTGTTTTGTCAAACAAAAAATATCAATTTTCACGTTAGTTATGTGTACTTTTATCATCATTTTTAGATTTTATCAAAAATTTTCTCAGAATTGGCAGAAAAAAGTCTGTCTAGATAAGATTAACTATATTTTATTATGAACAACCATTTTTATTAGTTATTGTTTGTATTTTTATTATTATTAAAATTTATAAAACTTTCGAGCAGGACACAAATTTATTTAGATATTGAGACACTTTTTTGAAATTAAATACAGAAATTGAATATTTTAAAACTATAAGCTACTACCATAATCAATCTCAGTTGATTTTACACATTGACACTTTGACATAGAAATTGATTAGTGGATTGAATGAGTGACATTTTTAAACATTCACTGCGTTTTGTGGATTTCTTCAATATATTTGAAAGTCCAAATTTGTTGTTAGAAGTTAAATGTTTCTAAATACTACATTTAAATTTTTTATTATTGAATTGTGTTGTATTTATTAAATAATTAATCAAATGATTAATTTGATTTCTTTTAAATTCGCTTCTTT